CAAATCTATTAAGATGAGATTCGTAGCTGGATCTGGTGACACAATCCTATAATCTCATCAGCTGGGAGACTGAGGCAGGGGAAGGTGAGTTCACAGTCAGCTGTCTCACAAAAGTAAAGGGCTAGGGACAGAAGTCAGAGATGGATTGCTTCTCCATCATGCGAAAGGCATTGAGTTTATACCTTGGTACTGCAAGCAACTGCAAAAATCATGACATTCCTTTTGCTTTAGAGAATCTTGCTTAAATTGAGAACATAGATTTCAAAGGCAAAGTTTAAAGAAATGTTGTTCTTTAACCTTCGAGCACCTTCAGCTCTACCCATGGTTCCTTTCCTGTCACCATTTCCTAAATCTGTTACTGCTCATGTAGTTGCCAATTTGATGTTTCTGTCTCAATCATTTTCTGTATAACAAAGTAAATACTTCTGTTCCTGAACTGCACCATTGCTGCTCCCAACAGCACAACTCGCTGTTCCTCTTGTGATGCCTAGCATTATTGACATAGCTCTGTTGATACCTTACTCTCATAAACTATACTTAGTTGTCTCTGTAAATGCACTGTCCAACTGTCCGCCCCATCGTTCTTTCTACCTTGTGCTCCTGTCATTAATTCTTTACTTCATTACCTTTGGCCTGAGTTGTTGCATAAACTTATGAGCTGCATTTCTACCAACAGATTTGTGCCTTTTTTACTCTTACATCCAATGTGCCCAAAGAGGGCATTCCAGGGTGATCATCAGATCATGCCATTCTCTTGTTAGAAATCCATCAGTTGCTTTTTTAGTATTGTATATGGGAACAAGATTTTTATTTATCAAAGATGCTGTACATCCACCATGTGGGTCCCAGAAACTGAATTCATGCTGTCAAGTTTGGTAGCAGGTGCCTTACCTGCTGGCCCATTTTGGTGGCCCTGGATGTTAGAAGTGTGATATAAAGATTTTCTTAAAACTGGACAAAATGTTTTCCACCTCTTGATTCTGAGGTGTTATTGAGCAAGAAGTTCCTAGAAAACATTTTAACCAGAAAACCTAGTATGCACAAGGTTCTTGGTTCCATCACCACCGGCACCAAAAAAAGGGGAGGGGGTGGACTTTGTCCAGCATTTGTGAATCCCTAGATTAGTGGTTCTCAACCATTAGGTCATGACCCCTCTGAGGGTTGAACCACCTTTTCACAAGGCTTGCCTAAGGCCATCGAAAAACAGATATTTACATTACAACTCATAGCAGTAGAAAAATTACTGTTATGAAGTAGCAGTGAAAATAATTTTATGGTTGGGGGTCACCTCAACATGAAGAACTATATCACAGGGTGGCAGGATTGGGAAGGTTAAGAACTACTGCTCTAGGTCCAATCCCTACTACCATTCTGGGATGGAGGGGAAACATAATTTATTTTCCTTTTGTAATGCTGCCACCTAGTGTTGATGTATTTTGGTATATCCTTTTTTGAAGAAGCAAGAGTTTGATTTATGTTTTAAAAATTCTGTTTTATTGGTTTTAGAGTAAATAGCAGATCTTAAACTGTTACAGCACAAGCTATTTTATTTAACATACTGTTAGAACAAAGCTACCTTTCCTGTGCCCATTCTGTAATTAGGGGCTTTCTTTTTGTTTACGTTTTGGGCATGAGTATCTCTTACCTGTGCCTCAGGTTTTCTCTTTTGTTTTTGTTTGTTTGCTTTATTTTGTTTTTAAGCCCTTTGAAATCTAAGCTGAACAGTCTTAACACTTGGTTCATGTTTGCTCCCAGAAAGACTTCAGAGGAAAATATTTGTGATTGGTATTGTGTGATTGAGGACAGCCTTCTTTCGCATACAGTGGGTCCTCATGGTTTCTAGGCTGATACAGAAAGTCGAGTATCCACCCTAAAGGAACTGCCAGGGACCAGTCAGGCTACTTGAATTAGTTTTCAGCCCATTTTCATGTTAGATAACATTCTTTCATCTGAAATTAATTCTTATAATTTCAGGTAATTAATATGGAAACCAACTAAGAGTTATTTTCTAAAACATCACAATAGTTAATGTTTTACTTTCCGTTTAGTATAGATGTCCTTGGCTTAATGAAAGTGAAATTTTATAGTTGATATTTAAGTGAGACCTTACCAGAGGCTTAAAAATTATAAGGTGAAGAATTTGGCTGAATGAAAAATAAACTGCTATAGATTTAAACTGTATTTTAAGGTATTGTGACTATGTATAATTAAATGTGTTTTTAAAAATATCAAATATCAAGGATGGATCTAAATGACATGGAAACCTTGCTATTATACTAAGTATAGAATTGGGATTTTTGTTTGTTTGGTTGGTTGGTTTTGGAGGGTCTTTTGTTTGTTTTTCAAGACACGGTTTCTCTGTACATAGCCCTTGCTGTTCTGGAACTCTCTATAGAATAGGCTGGCCTCAAATTTACTGAGCTCTGTCTGCCTCTGCCTCCTGAGTGCTGAGGTTAAAGGTGTGCTCCACTACCGCCTAGCTGGCGTATAGAATTGTTAAGGGTGAGTTATAAACTTATTAAGCAAAAAATAATCTTTAATTTTTTTAAACAGAATTACTGAGCTGATGGGTTATGAGCCAGAAGAACTTTTGGGCCGCTCAATTTATGAATATTATCATGCTTTGGACTCTGATCATCTGACAAAAACTCATCATGATAGTAAGTACAGTAGAAGAACTCAAAGAGGTAGTCTCATTGCTCAAGTCCTACAGTCTCTACTGTTTGTTACTACCCAGTCTCCTTAGACCAAGAACATTCTACAGCCCCTCATAAAATGTCTTGATCATGAAATTATTGTTTTGTTACAAATATTATAAAAAAATCATTTAATGATATATAAAGCTTCCCATAAAAGTCAAATATTATAGATTATCTAGCCCACATATCTATCTATATACTGAAATCAGTGGTTGGTCAATAGGAGGTAAGAAGCATTTCTTCATGCATCAGTGAATGGGATTAGTATCATACACACATGATTGCTGTCACCCTGACTAGGCTTCTGAATTTTACTCAGATGAAGTCTATGATACCAAAGTAAGTCAAATGTCACAATTTCTCACTTGCCTGTTTAATCTGGACCTAACTACAGAGTCTGGCCTTGAACTACAGAGTCTGCCTCCATTGTAGTCAGAGCATGGATATTCGTGATAGCAGTTATTCTCTTAAGTCAGTAATTAATTTATACTGCATGAATTGCTACAAGACTACAGTATGATATGAACTTACACATTCAAATGTTCTGTATATAATTTTTTTTAGTGATTTGATTATCCGACACATAAGGAAACAATAATACCATTTTCTTGAATGTACCATGTGATCAGTCTCTGGTCTGACACTTTGACCATAAGTCACTAAAAGAACTACAACTACTTTATCCCTCATTCCTGGCTTTCCTTCTTTTATAGTAAGATAGGAATTTTACTTAGGAGTTTATTTTCAATTGTGTTTGGCCTTTGTTTATCAGTTTAAACAGTCAGAAATTTTTATTTAAATATCTCTCCTTTAAAAAACAAACAAACAAAAAGCAATGATCCAGTCGCGCATGGCAGTGGAAGCTTTTACCTTCAGCACTTGGAAGGTAGGGGCAGGCAGATCTTTGAGTTTGTGGCCAGCCTGGTCTACATAGGGACAGCCAACGCTCCATAGAGAGACCCTGTCCTAAAACAAAACAACAAAACCCATAGGGCGGTGGTGGCACATGCCTTTAATCCCAGCATTCGGGAGGCAGAGGCGGGTGGATTTCTGTGAGTTTGAGGCCATCCTGGTCTACAAGAGCTAGTTCCAGGACAGGGTCCAGGCTCCAAAGCTACAGAGAAACCCTGCCTCGAAAAACAAAAAATAAAAACCAGTAATCTACATTCAACACTTCTGTGATGGAATATTCAGTTATTTATTTATTTTTTTTTTGTGATGCTTTCTTATCCCTAGTGTTTACAAAAGGACAAGTCACCACAGGACAGTACAGGATGCTTGCCAAAAGAGGTGGCTATGTCTGGGTTGAAACTCAAGCGACTGTCATATATAATACGAAGAACTCTCAGCCACAGTGCATTGTGTGTGTGAACTACGTTGTGAGGTAAGATGGGGAAGAGACACTTTTATATTTATGTGACTTCATTAAGAGAGATAAAATGATAAAAACTTAAATCAGTCTATGAATCTGTTTTCCTGGTAGTTCAGTTTTAAGCAGATACTATCTTATGGCCAAGAAGGTTCTGTGAAGCTTAAATGCCTCTCTTCTGTGTGGGCACAATGACAGGCTGTATGCTGTGACACGGGGGCTGTTGTTACATTCATGAGCTCTGGAACTTACTTAAGTGGGCTTTGCCCCATTCAGTCACTCTTAAGACATTACCAAAACATTCTAATTTAATTGCCAGGCAGAGCTCTCTAGTGTGGATAGCTTGCTTTCTTATGTTCTATACCCTTTACTTTTTTTCCTGTCTCACTGAGTAGGCCTGGCTGGCCTGGAACACACTTTAGACCAGGCCAGCCTTGAATTTTCAGCTGCCCTGTGTAGGATTGCAGGGCTGTACCAGCAGTCTCCAGCACAGCTTTCACAGGTGCCACCAAAATCCAGGTTACCCCTTTTATGAAGACTTTGGCCATTGTTTTGTTCTTTCAACTTTTAGTTTTCTGTTGTTTCCTTCGGGGGATGATTTTAGTGCTAGGATCAAACTCCATGCCTTACCACTTCTAACCCCAAAGAATCATCTTAGTTCTAAAGAGTTCTGTGATATTTGCCTTTGTGTAAAGCTATTCTTCCTCTCCCCAGTCTGCCTCACGAATGTTACTTGAGCCCAAGTTTCAGCTTGTTCACTTTTCTGCGAAAGACCCCTTTTCCATTTTAGGAGTGATCAGTGTATTGTAATTGTTTGTTTATGCATTTAACATTGTATTATAAACTACTTGAAGGCACGGGTTGTATACGTCAGTCTTTATGTTCTTTGTTCATTTCATATATTAAACATATAATATGCTAGCTAGAAGTACCTTGATGCCAGACATGAAGTTGGGTGGTTGTTCATCATCCCTCTTTCTTTCTTCTTTCGTAGCCTGTAAATGACATCACTATATAATTTCCACCAAAAAAAAAATATGACTCCCTGCATAAAGACTGTGGTCGTTATCGTTATATTCTAATATCTGTAGACCATACCTCATGTGTTATTGCTGGAGTAATGTTGTGTCCTTTTCATTGTGTGCATCAGCACATCTTACTCTGTGTCCTTCATATACTTTACTCATTCTCAGAGTGTTTCAACTCAAATAAGTTGAATATTTTAATTAGTAAATTTTATATAAATTTTTATATTTTCATATTGGTGTTTCAAAAAAATGTACATTTTCTCAGTATTAGAATGTTTGCCTAGCATGCACAAGGTCTTGGGCTCAATCATCAACACCGGGGAAAAAAGAAATGTGACAAATATGCATGAGAGATTATTCATCTTAAGATATGTAAAAATCCTTTTTTCATATAAAATATAATTTAAGAGACAGGGTCATTTTGTAGTCCCTTTCACTGTCATTGTGTCAAATGCTAATTTACAAATACTAATCTCCTTTTTTTTTTGACAGTGGTATTATTCAGCACGACTTGATTTTCTCCCTTCAACAAACAGAATGTGTCCTCAAACCAGTTGAATCTTCAGATATGAAAATGACTCAGCTGTTCACCAAAGTTGAATCAGAGGATACAAGCTGCCTTTTTGATAAGCTTAAGAAAGAACCTGATGCTCTAACTCTGCTGGCCCCAGCTGCTGGGGACACGATTATATCTCTGGATTTTGGCAGTGATGGTGGGTGCTTAGTGAGTCTATCCATTTCTTCAGCTGTGTCTGCTGCTTCCTGTCCCAATTCACCTGCACTGTGCTATATTTCTTGACTTAAGCATTTGTATGATGCTTGCACTTTTTGTATAGTTTTTCAAAAGTGTTGTTTAATGTTTGTTTCTGAAATTTCATAGCCTTCCTGCTTTTATTTTTGTGTTCTGTTTGGAATTGTAGTTAAGAGTATCGTGAAGGCCTCCCTGCCTCCTCACTGCACCATTCAGTAGAGTTAAACTGCAGTAGATATAATTGGGTAAATGATAAAGGATTAAAGAAGCAGTCTTACCATAAAACAAACATGAAAAGGAAAAATATTATTTCAAATTAGGCTAACTTTTAGCATATAAAAAGATTAGTTACACATCGTAGGAGTTGTCAGTGCGGACAAAAAAGATAACTCAGACCTAATGGTCATACCGTAATGTCTGTAAACTTTTCAATTAAAGACTGTTAAAATCCTAATGTTCTCCAGGTTGATGAAATTTTTCTTTTGCAGACACAGAAACTGAAGACCAACAACTTGAAGATGTCCCATTATATAATGATGTAATGTTCCCCTCCTCTAATGAAAAATTAACAAATATAAATCTGGCACTGTCTCCATTACCTGCCTCTGAAACTCCAAAGCCACTTCGAAGTAGTGCTGATCCTGCACTAAATCAAGAGGTGGCATTAAAGTTAGAGCCAAGTCCGGAGTCACTGGAACTCTCCTTTACGATGCCCCAGATTCAAGATCAGCCAGCCAGTCCTTCTGACGGAAGCACTAGACAGAGTTCACCTGAGGTGGGTACTATGACAGAAGAGAAGGTCAAGGATAAATACGCCTGGCACTGATAGTTCTCTGAAACCCAACAGAAATGGTTTCTGAATATCTATCTAGGTTGGACCAGGGCTGAAAGTGTCACAAATAGCTGTTTCCAAATCCAGAACAATTCATTTCAGAGCTTTCTACTATTAACACTGAGCTTCAGAGCAGGACAGTTTAGATTTGAACTTTGTAACCTGCTTAGTGAAGCACAGTAAGTCTGGATCTGCATTAAATCGTTAGAAATTAAAATTGGCATGTGTAAGTTAAGCAATATGGTATCTCAAAACCTTTTGAAGAATATGTTCTTTGCTTTGATGGTTTGCCCAGCACAGAAGTGTTTGTCATTGAGCTAACAAAGTAAATCTAATGAAAAATGAGGAAGAGGAAAGTGTTACGTCTAGCATACCAAGCTACAGTATTAAATTCTTGCCTATAACTCCTAACATAATAGAATAGAGGTTTAAGATTCCAGGGAAAATATCATCTAGTTAATTGGTACCATTGTAGAACTTGGTTGCTTGGTCAATTTTATTCTTTAGAATAAATAAATTTCTTTTGAGGGGCAGGGTTTGGTTTTTGTTTTTTTGTTGTTTTGGTTTTTGATTTTCTTTCTTTCTTTCTTTCTTTCTTTCTTTTTTTTTTTTTCTTTTTTGGATTTTTCGAGACAGGGTTTCTCCGTAGCTTTTTGGTTCCTGTCCTGGAACTAGCTCTTGTAGACCAGGCTGGCCTCGAACTCACAGAGATCCGCCTGCCTCTGCCTCCTGAGTGCTGGGATTAAAGGCATGCGCCACCACCGCCCGGCTGGTTTTTGATTTTCTAAGACAGGGTCTCACTATTATTAGCCCTTTTGGCCTGGAGCTCACTCTGTAGACCAGGCTGGCCTCGAACTTACAGAGATTCTTCTGCCTCAGCCTCTTGAGTGCTGGGATTAGAGGTGTATTCCACCACAGCCTACCAAATATATCTTTTCATTGTATGAGCCAGAAACTTCTTAACAAGCAAACCTAGCGACTTCTTCAGGAAAAAGTAAACACTCCTAACTCTTTTCACAGCCTAACAGTCCCAGTGAATATTGTTTTGATGTGGATAGCGATATGGTCAATGTCTTCAAGTTGGAACTGGTGGAAAAACTGTTTGCCGAAGACACAGAAGCAAAGAACCCATTTTCAACTCAGGTGTGTTGCCTTGCTTATTTTGTATTTTATTAATTTTTAAGCTGAAATGACCAGGTTTAACTTGTTTTTCTTTTACAAAGTGTGGTCATTATAAAAACTCTTGTATTTATTTATTGTTTGAAAGGACACCGATTTAGACTTGGAGATGCTGGCCCCCTACATCCCGATGGATGATGATTTCCAGTTGCGGTCCTTTGACCAGTTGTCGCCATTAGAGAGCAGTTCTTCAAGCCCTCCAAGTGTGAGCACAGTGACAGGGTTCCAGCAGACCCCGCTGCAGAAACCTACCATCACTGCCGCTGCCGCCACTACCGCCACCAACACTGCCACCACCACTGATGAATTAAAAACAGTGACGAAGGACAATATAGAAGACATTAAAATACTGATTGCATCTCCATCATCTGTCCATGTACCTCAAGAAACAACAGCTGCTACAGCATCAGCATACAGTGCTCCTCACAGTCGGACAGCCTCACCCGACAGAGCAGGAAAGAGAGTCAGAGAACAGACAGAGAAAGCTCATCCAAGGAGCCCTAACATGTCTGTCACTTTGAGTCAAAGGTATTTATATGGAACATTCAGTCATGTTCTAGTACATAGGTGATGTTAAATGATTTCTAAACATACAGCCATCTTTCTGACATGTACTTTAAGGAACATCAAAGTAAGTCCAGTTGCTAAGTTATAAATGTCAGGCATTTCTTCGTGTTCCATTTAGAATGGGAAATAGCTTCTTCCCTGCTTAGATCCTTCTATACATGAAGAAAAGCCCTTTAGCTAAATGGTTCTTTCCCATCCCAAACTGAGCCTGGTGGTGTTTAGTTCTCACAGGTACATATAGATGTTTGCAGACCTTTTTAAAATCTTGAATATAATTGCGAGTCTCAAACTTCTATTCTTCATTACATATTTTTGTGTTGTCATTATTATAAAAAAAATTAGTTTTGTTTAGATCTACCAAGAGTCCTAGAATGATTTACATTATATACATTATTTTTTCTATGGAATGAAGCAATGTTTGAGCAAATATATAGAATTTCTGTATATAATATGTAATGTTATTTGATGTGTTTTAAATTTGAGGCCACACCTCCAGGAAAGTAATTTTTGCTAATTAGTTAGTAGAAGAAAAATGATTCCGTCTGTTCTGTGCCTAGTCAGCAAGCTGCCTCTGATAGCAGAAGAAAAAACTCTGCTGTAACTGGGACTTTGGTTCCCTCTTATCACCCCTTCACCTGAAGTACTAGGACAAGCTTGCCATTCTCTTGACCTAGGAAAAAAGCTTGGGTCTTTAGATGAATTCAGTGTTTTCATTTGGGTATAGTAAGATATGCCATTAGTCCAGGCTTTCAGGCAGTTGAGTAGGAGAATTACAAGCTTAAGACCAAAGCTGAGTGTGGTGGTGTACACACACACCAAATAAACATAACAGAAGCACAAACTACAGATGATATTTACATGATAGACTGAATTATATTTTGTGAACATAACATACTTGATAAAAATTTTAAACTAGCTTGCTTATATACTACATGGTTTATAAATATTTTAAAATTAAGAACCCATATTTATAGAAGAGTCATATATGACTTAGCCATTTGGCTTTCTGTTGGAAACTGAAAATATAACAAGCTTAATTGACTTTATAATAGTTCCTTGTTGCCTAATGTTTCAGGTACAGCAACTCAGATATATATTGGTTATATATTGGTCAGTACTGAGGCCAAACCAGCAGAGTGCAAAGGTCACTGTGGAGGAGATAAGTATGTGAAGGCTGGCATGTGCTTCCGTAGCTACAAATAATTAGCAGTGGGACTTAGAGCAAGCTACCTAACTGGCCTCAGTTTCTCGTTTATAAAATTTATGAAAGGTACAAAGTACCTGTCATATCTATCCTCAAGTGCTAGGATGAGGTTTAAATGAACATACATTTTATTTGGCTGCAGGTTCTCAATATGTATTTCAGGCTAGCCTTAAACTTAAAATGTAGCCAGACTGGACTCAAACAGGGATTATAGGTGTGTAGCTCTGTGTCCAGCTGAAACATTTATAAACTGAAAATACTATACGGAAATGAATGTTGTCTTATATTTCAGTAGTCCAGTGAACAATGGTGGTCTTAGCAAGAATGGTTTGCTTTTTCTTTTCCAGAAATACTGTTACTGAGGAAGACTTAAACCCAAAGATAATAGCTTTGCAGAATGCCCAGAGGAAGCGGAAAATGGAACATGATGGCTC